CGACCACCGTCCATGCCACCTCCATAACCATGGTCAGCCACCGACCACCACCGTCCATCTCCGCCACCATTACCATCGTTGGCCACATTCACCTCATGCTCTATTACAACAACCTCTTTTACTACCTCCACACCCACTGTCGGTCACTAACTACCATCGTCCATCACCATCATTGGCTACCACTACTACTACCACTAGCCACCACCACTTCTACCTTCATCACATCAGTTACAACTACCTCATCCACCACTATCGACCAACACCACCACTTCTACGTACCATTTTCACGTCCTCCACAACCACAATCGTCCATCAACCACCACCGCCCATCACCACCACCACTAGTACCGTCAGTCATGGAACTTATAACACCCTACTTTCATGGTAATATGTCTATTGAAATCTCAACATGGCCCATTCGTAAATTCAACATATGCTTGTTTTATAACCTGTGATTGAAATATATCTACATCCCTACCTAACAAGTCCCAAAAATAAGAACGGGTAAAAGCACCACATAAACTAACTTATGTTTACCATCATATACAAAAGAAATATTACAACAAAATCCAATGACTATTGTCCCAAACTATTTCTTTTTAATCCACACAATATGGTGGTCAAAAACACGTTGTCAACCAACATAATTACCTGTCAACACTCATTTCCACAAGCAATGTCACCCATTCCACTAAAACTGTGAGTAATACCAAATCCAGATCCTGGGATACACGACGACAAACAAAACAAGTCAAGCTTCACGCATGGTGAGTTCAATAGTTTACATCATAAAACCTTCAGTCAAAATCAAAATGATACATACATTTCAAAATGATGCATGATTGCAATATTGGTTCTACACAAACCCACACATTACTTAAATCTTCAATAATAATCAATAAAATATATGGTTATCTATGCCATACATGTAGGCTTGGGTAGGCTCAATTTTGGACTTTTTTCGAGAAAAAAATGCCACTCCAAGTTCTGCCCTATCACATGAGTATGTCTCTCGTCTCCCTCGCTCTCAATCTTTTGTCTCCCTCACGAGTACAACTGGTTTTGTCATTACCCAACCACCAGCCACCGGCCAACCGACCACCATCGACACCTTATGCCTGTTCATTGTTCACAACCACCGAACACTACTTCTGCTTCTATTCGATCCTCCAATTTGATTTTTGCTCTCAGAGTCTCCTACTCTAGGTGTTCTCCTTCTTATTACTTATCTTATAGATTTATTGAATACTTCTTTATTAGATTTTCAAGGGTTTTTAAGGTTTGTGCGATGTTATCAATTATCATCTTGATTTGTTTCAGGTTATGTTGTTAGGTTATGGCAATGCAGATTGTTGTAATTCGGAAAAGCAATTTGATCCAAGATTTCTTCTACAAATATTATAATCCTTGTTGGTTGTTGCAACTGAACAAGTCCTATATTATGCAATTCGTTGACATATGTGCTACGCTTGGTTTTACTTGTTTGTAGGAGGTCTAATGGAGTAAATCGTAAAATTAATGTATAATGTGGTCAAAAGTCAACCATTTTCAAAGCGTAGTGGTCCTTGAGATTGTGATGGTAGCATATACCTCTGATCATACAATTCTAAGGTAATGCCATATATCTATACTATATTATAAAATATTTAGGATAAAGTCTTAAAAACAAATAGAAAACGGTGCAATTATGGTTAGTTTTTGACTGGTTGGTTTGTAGGTCGATGGATTGAAGTCCACTATACTGTAGAGGTAGACAAAATGGTTCGCTAAATCGTAAAATTCATATCTCGCTGCTTTGCACGGGTACACAACTAGTTAACTACAAAACCTACAGAGTACCATTAAACGCCCCAAGATCAAAGAACTATGTTTGTATGTCGGATGGATACAACCCGATCCAATTCAATTGATATTGGTTGAATCCCATCTGATCTAATATATATCCAATGGATGAAACCGAACCGATCTAATCATCCATTCGATTGGAATAGGTCAATTGTCCAGTTTTAATCAGATGAATCAATTAACAAAATCCAACATCAAATGGATGATTATATCAGTTCGATTTTTTCCTCACATTCAATAGATATTAACCAATAAAGAGGTATATACTTTTAATTTACAAATGCATCCAATTACCAAACATGGAATGTGGAAAAATTAATTAAATATAAAAAACAAAAACAAAAACATTTTGGAAAATGGTAGGGTAGCACAGTGCACACAGGGTTATTATATATATGGTCCCAATTGGGCAATTGGCTCGTCCCTCATAAACCGTCTACTAGTTTTCAAAATAAATTAATAATAATAATAATAATAATAATAATTTTTTAATAATAATAATAATAATTTTTTAGAGAAGGTCTCTCAAAACTTCTAGAATTTTAAGTATGATATCACATTCAATTCAACTTCAAACTCTGTTATGAATCAATAAATTTTTTAAAAAATAAAGAAAATATAATTTTAAGTAATTCATTAAAATGATTACCATGAAAGAATACATTTTTTTAATAATAAATTTTTTTAAAATTAAATATATTTAAAATATGTAATAATATTTTATTAAATGTATGAAATATTTTAATAGGATAATAAATACTATTAATCTTTAAAATTAAAAGTGTTAGAATTAAAGGTATTTTTCAATTAAAGATTTTTAATTTTAATTTTAATTATTTATTTTGAAAAAAAAAATTAGAACATCTCTAATAGCTTTTCTAAAATGGAAAAAAATGAAAAAAACAAAGATTTTGAGCATATATTTTATTTCAATAGTTTCTTTAAAACCATCTTCAAAATGGAAAAGTAGGAGAGAGAACCGTTTTTTATACGAGAAGAATTTTGGTCATTTTATCAATGTTTTTTATAAATTATTTTAATTGTACAAGCTATTAAAACATTTGTAACATACTCAAAAACAAAACCTAAAATCTAAATCAACACCCCCTCGTTAAAAATGAAACCACAGTACCTCTACAATTCCGACGAGAGCTCTACAACTTACAATCCCTCTCTTCATCTTCAAGATCCAACTTACCTCTACAGTGATGGTGGGAAATCAATGTGACGCGGTTTTCCAACAATGGTGGAGGAGGTTCTTGTTTTACTCGTGCTAATTCCCAACAACGTTGGTAGGAAATGAGTGGAAAGTCACACGGTTGGTGATGTGAAATCACGGGGGTTTCCCATGTCAATCCATGTTTTGATCTAATGAATTAATTATTATACATTTAGTTAACACTAAGATTTTTCGAGTATAGGTTTTTTTTTGGCTTTTGATGTTCTTATTTTTAGGGTTTTAATTTATGGTTTTATATCACTGCATTTTGGAATGATGTAAAATATTTGTTGTTGATGTTTGACGGTTTTGATGTTCTAATCCAAAATTCTATGATATTTATGAATCTGTTTATGTATTAATTTTGTGGAAAGGTTCAAGTTCATGTCCTTTTTTTGTGGTTTTATGGGTTGACAAAATGACAAAATGCCTCTCACGTTAGGGCACTTAATGACACTAAAGGCCAGGGGCGAAATCGGTAATGAAATACAAGTCTAATAACGTTATCTGTAATTTCTAAGAGTAAATTATGTCGTCGGCCCCTATGGTTTGCTCAAAAGTTGGATCCCATCTATACTTCAAAATAATTACAAAGTATGTCCTCAAGGTTTGCATTTCGTTTCAAGCTGAGTCCCTGATGCTAACACTGTTAAATCCAATCTGTCTCCAGGTGAAGTCCCACCATCCCTGTTGATTTTCTTTGTGAATTCCGGTCAACTTTTTCAAGTTAACCCCACCATCTCAACGATTTTTCTCCGATGAATTCTAGACACAAATTTTCAATGGACTCCGTATGTGTGCACCGCCGAGCACCACCGCTCCCACGAACCAACCTCCAGTATGATTTAGGGTTTTGATCTAGTGTTTTATTTTTAATGATTTGATGTTCTTGCATTCTTGGTTGACAGTTTTTTGTATGTTTTGTATATGTGTGTATATAAATCTTTTTGGTGTTGACAAGAGACGATGGCCGAAAATAAAGATGAGGCCAGAAGACCGTGTGGGAGAGAGGAAGAAGGAAGGACGGGAAAGAGGGACATTTGGCAAGTTGTTAGTTGATGTGTGAAAGTCTTTTTCAATATTTTTTAAAAGAAAATAACAGAAATGGTCAAATGTCAGAAATGCCCATTAGTTAGCGATGTTAACTCATAACGAAATGCAAACCACGAGGACTCAATGTAATTATTCTTCATTAGAGACGTAATCCAGATTTTGAACAAACCGCAAGAACCGATGATATAATTTGCTTTTTTTTTTATTAACCTGGATATCCAACCCGTTATGTGAGCTGACTAATACCATGACGACCACCTGTTTTGCAGATAGTCCGGAGTCACCGCATTTAAACCTCCGTGGCCATAAATGAGATTTTTATTCCTGTTTAGATTTGAATCTGAGACCTCCTGGTACTTTTAAACCTTTGAAATCAAAGAAATAATTTTATTATTATATATTAAAAAATTATAATAACGCAAAAGCCATGCTCTACGTATCATGTGTTCTGTTTGGTTCTATGACGTCAAATGCACTTTCTCCATCCCATTAAAATTTAATATTTGATTTTGGAACGATTTTAAACGATTATTTTAATTTTTTAATGATTAAAATAATAATTAACATATTAACAAATTAAAAGACTTCGATTTCTATTCAAGTTGGGCGACAGTGATATGCGGCTGCAACCCGTCACATGTAGGTCACGTGCCGTGTAGGGGCTGGCCAATAATGGAGGCTCCACCTAATCAAATGTCATCTTTGTGGTGGTTGTGAATAGGGGTCAATTTTTCTGTTCTACCCCCCACCCTATTACCATGCACCTTCACCAATCATGTTTCTGCCTCTCTAATCAACCCGTAACTTCCCGCCGCGTGTCCTCGAATTTTCCTGTATCTTCTTTTGTTATATTATATTACGCCCTACCTTCATCGATATATACGGATCTCGCATAGGAAATACTTTCGCAGTTTCTCGATCCAATCTCATCGCCGTTCTGCAATTCACGCTTCAAAGAGGTGTGTGTGTGCTTTTGATCTTCAGTTTCTCAAAAAATGTTCATTTTTTTGATGTGTTGTTTCGTAATTTGTGAACCCTAGTTGAATTTTATGCATTTAGATCGACTTGGAAGACGGTTTTGCTTGTAGTGAATGATGAATTATTACGGGTTTTTTTGGATAGGTGTATTTGTAGTTGAAACAATACGGAGGCGTAGGAAATTTTGGTTTAATTTTGCATCGAAACAGTTTTATGAGAGCAATTTATATGATTACACATACAATCTAATCAATCAACCGTCATCATCAACAAAGTTCAAAATTTTGCTATCCGCGGTTTAGGGTATGGAATCTGTGAAATCTCGTTTTGGATGATGTCAGCGCACTGATTGAAATCTGGCTCCGTTCAGTGCTTGGTGTGAATTGGGGTCCTATATATGAATCTTTTTCTCAATTCTGGTTGGGTCGTATAATAGATGAGTTGTGCATCTGATCCTTGAATCTACCTAGGAGATTTTTGAGTTTATTGAATCTGATAAACAGAGAAATTATGAAATTACTGGCGCTCTTAGAGTTAAACTTGGGAATAGTGGAAATAAGAAAATGTGAGATGATAAACATTTGACAGACATGACTTTTTATGGCATTTAGATCATGGGTAGTTGAGTAGTTCCATAGCTGTTATCTTGTTAAGTTTCAAGAAAGGTTGAAGCTGTAAGTTGTAGAGGCTGGCCAATTTCGTTGCTTCTACTTGAAATTTGCAAACTTTTTGGCCAAAAAGTATTATCAATTTTGAAGTTCAAATAGGCTGCTATCAACCGATTGCATGGCTTACTGTTAGGTTCAAATGTTCTGGCAATTTAGATTGTTCTTTGAACCTCCTACAAATATTGTTCTGATTCGACCCTATAATATATATGTCTATTTTCCTCCAAATTGAGTAGTATCTTCTTAGATAAGATTGAAATACTATTTACTTTATAATTCCTACCCATGAAGTAATATGGTTTTAAATGCGTTCAATTTGAACTGGTATTTCCTCCACTCCAATTATTGTGAAGAGACATCTACAATTGTCAGTCTTCAGGCAGTTTATTTGTTAGAATATGCTATACCCAATATGGACCACATCTGAAATCGGGTCAAGTTCTAATTGCTCAAGTTGACTCTGTGGCAATGCTGTGTAATACTTTTATTAAATAATTGATTTGGGATCTGAAATATTTTCATTGTTATCATTAGAAACAGACACGTTACTATTTTTGCTGCTCGTTGTGTAAACTGTAAACTTGTAAATTTCTGCTAGAAGCTTTATGTGTGATGTTGTTATTAACTATCAGGGAGCAACTCTTTTAGCTGTATCAATTTGGTTTCTTGATTGACTCATACCAATGTAGTTTGATTAAAGTTCAGGATAATAAGAGCACTTCCTTATATTCCTCATACAATAGATCTATCTCTTCACTGAGAAAAACATTGACGCTAGATCTTTCATCTCTTTCAGAAGTTCACATATAGCAACTGTCAACTACCTGGGAATGCGGAATGATGTGTTCAAACGTTGGTAATCTCTTCACTAAGACCTGCATGGTTGCAAGTCCATATGAACAACTGGTGCTCCTTGATGAAGTTGGATTCGAACATCAGAACACATTCAGTCGATATGCTCACATGCACAATGAAGCTGCACTTTGCAGGGTTCCTGTCCTTTTGAAGATTGAGCTTGTTGAAGACGGTTAGGTCTTCCGTTCAAGAATCCTGCTTGTGTAAAAAAATAATCTGTGTTAGCAGGAGATAAGTTTGCAGTACTTTACTAGGGTTTCTTTAAAATGGAGAATGTGGGAAATGTGTTGATGCAAAAGTATGAATTCGGGAAAATGCTTGGTCAAGGTAATTTTGCTAAAGTTTATCATGGACGTGACTTGAAATCGGGCGAAAGTATAGCCATTAAAGTAATTGACAAGGAAAAGGTTTTGAGGGTTGGACTGATTGATCAGACCAAGCGGGAGATATCCGTTATGGGACTGGTAAAACACCCAAATATAGTGCAGCTTTATGAGGTCATGGCCACCAAAACAAAGATTTACTTTGCAATGGAATATGCAAAAGGTGGGGAGCTATTTGACAAGGTGTCTAAGGGAAGGCTCAAGGAAGACATTGCTAGGAAGTATTTTCAACAACTAATCTGTGCCGTTGATTTTTGCCACAGCCGAGGTGTCTTTCATCGTGACTTGAAACCAGAAAACCTGCTGCTAGACGATAATGGAAGTCTAAAGGTGACAGACTTTGGGTTAAGTGTTCATTCGTCATGCACTCGGATAGATGGATTGCTTCACACAACGTGCGGCACTCCAGCCTACGTTGCGCCTGAAGTAATTAGCAGAAAAGGCTATGATGGTGCTAAAGCTGACATTTGGTCTTGCGGGGTGATTTTATTTGTCCTTCTGACGGGTCATCTTCCATTTAATGACTCAAACATCATACAGATGTATAAAAAGATAAGCAAGGCTGATTATAAATGTCCTAATTGGTTTCCACCAGAAGTTCGTAGACTGCTCAAAAGAATTCTTGATCCGAATCCGGTTACTAGGATTTCCATGAAAAAGATCATGGAAAACCCCTGGTTCAGGAGAGGATTAGACACGAAGCAGACGAGCAACACTGTGGAAAAAGAAATGCCTTCAATAAATGCTGATGCAGTCTTCAGTCCTTCAGAAAAATCTTTTGAGCCAAAAAAGCCAGATTTCACCAAGGTCTCTAGTCTTAATGCCTTTGATATCATTTCTCTGTCAACCGGATTTGACTTGTCTGGTTTGTTTGTTGAAAATGATGAAAAAGATGAAGTGAAATTTACTTCCACTGAACCTGCCTCAGCTATCATATCCAAAATGGAGCAAATTGCCACACGGTTAAAGCTGGAAGTAGGTATGAAGAAGGGAGGGCAGTTAAAATTCAGGAGACCAAGTGAAGGTAGAAATGGGCCACTATCCATTGATGTGGAAATATTCGAAATCACTTCCTCCTTTCATTTGGTAGAGGTGACAAAGTCGTGCGGTGATACATTGGAGTATCAAAAGATATTAAAACAGGACATAAGACCAGCTCTCAAGGAAATTGTTTGGGCCTGGCATGGTGAGTAACCATAACATTGGTAACTAGTTACCATAGAAGCATTTTATCTTCCAGAAATTTCCGAACTTTTCAATTGCTTTTGTATCTTTATCATGTAATCTCAAGATATCCCTAATTTGTTCTGTGTCAACCTTGCTATGAAGATCGCTAATATAAGTGAGAACTTGTTTAGATTTGTGTTAAAACCCTCTTGTTCTATTGTTAATTGTTATCCCCCCTATCTTGGTTGCTTATCTGCTTTTTCATTGTTTCTTATCTATGCTGTTCTGTACTTCTGCTCTCTTTTTGATCCTTATTTTACTTGGTTTGTGCTCAATCAACTTTACAAGTTGATACATGTGTGTGTGTGTGTGCGTGTATAGGGGAAGTTCATTTAGGAACCATGGATATTTGAGGGTCGATAGAACCAGCAGTTAATGAATTATTCATGATGAATATACCTAAATATTCACGACTATATTCATCATGAGTATCATGCATTCATGGGTATATTCATCAGGAGTATCATGCATTTTCATTATTCATGATATTCATTATGAATAATCCATGAATAGTTGGTTTTCGAGTTTCTCAAGTGAAACTGCTTTTGTGAATGACCCTGCCTTGTGAAGCCCCCCCCCTCCCAACAACCAAAAAAAAATTCCGATAACATGTGGTTGGTTTTGGGCCTTGTACGGGTCGTTTTACATGCAAGTAAACATATGTGGGTTGGATTGTGACCATTTAAGATTGGTTCAATTCTATCCTTACCCTTTTTTTCTGGTTGTGCCCACAATAATAAGATTAGTTGATGATGTTAGCATTCCAAGAATAAGTAGAGCCAGTTATGATGGTAGTGAGTTGTTTGCCTTATTATTCTCTCAACATGTGTAGTATAGGTATATAGCACTTCATACCAAATGGATAGAAAAGAAGAATAAGACAGATTCTTTTCTGATGTTTGCAGCAAGTATAAACAGCTAAGCATAGCCAAAGATACAGCCCATCAATGCTTTAGAGACTTGTACAGTATGCATTATATGTTGTCTGAGTGATGGTCAATGTCAGCTTCTTATCTTGAAAGAACAAGTGTGTTTAAGATGCCACTTTTTCTCTAGGCTTGAAACACAGTAAGTTGCAGGCAGAAGATGCACTTGAAAAAAGGAAGAGCAAAGAGGATGCTTGATAGATCAAAGATGCCTGCAAATGTCAGTCCTAACTTTTCGACAACAATAAAAAAGTTGATGCATTTGAACAAAGAAAGATGCATAGTCTATGCAAAGAGTACATTTTACATCTTTCCCTTTTCACTTGTATTAAATAACAAGAAGTATTATAGCTCTGATCTACTCACTCAGTTTGGCTTCGACATATACATTTAGGGGTCGTTTGTCAACACAGATTGGGCTGACTGGAAATGGTTATTTACCAAGTGTTTTGGTATGCACTGATACTTCTCCTTGGTCAGTATATTTGTGGATTAGAGTTTGTTGGTAAATCAGTTGATGTGGACCGAGTCAGACTGAATCAACGCTGGTCAACAATAAGAGATAAAGAGACCCTTAATTTCAAATGCCAACTTTCTTTCTTGGCCTTTTTATTGATGATGTGTTTAGGAAACAACAAAAAGATGACAACACTAGGAAGCAATGGTTAATTTAAGAGGCTTGGTGGCCAAATTGATTCCCATTTGCAATGGCATTATTCATGAAGTGGGGGGCCAACATGCCAAGTTAGGCCATTCAATTCTCTTAAAAGCTATGCTCTCTCACACACCAACAAAGAATAAAGGAGTAGGCTTTGTGTACCCCTACCCCACCCCCCATCCTACACTCACACACACACACACACACTATTCTATTCATTAGTTCACTCAAAGTGATGAAAGTGGCCCAAGAGCCACATGAAAGATCAAAGGCAACAAAAGCATTTGGAAAGTGCACATATCTTCACAAGATTCATACCAAGTTTTTTGGGACAAGTGGTGAGGCCTTGCCTACTCATCTATAAGTCTCATCTTTCAAACTTGTAATATTGGTTATATCAGATATAGTTTAAACCTGTATATTGTCTTTTGGGTGTTTAGTGAAAAGTAAGATACGTTTAATTTATCTTCTCGTAAAAAGCATCTGATTGGAAACTCAGTGATGGATATACAACTTTTGACAGTGTTGTCATACCGGATGTAGACGTAGCATCGAGTTTGAATCACCATCTAGAATCCGCATTTGGAAAGAGATTTGAAATAAAGTTGTGACAACTTTATGACCAAGAAAAGAAAGAAGACAAAAGAAATGGCATTGTCAAGCTTTCCCTAACACACACACACATACAAGTAAATGGTGAAAAGCAACAAAAAGAGGTTTGATTACTTGACAGCCATTCATATCCCACCATAGGAGAAGTGTTGACCCAACCCAATGGTCTCAGTTCATTCAAATCCCTCCATTTGGCCCATTATTTTGGAACAAATTTTCTTTTTGTCTACCATAAAAAAATCATAAATTCAAAAATATATTCATTAAAATAAGAAATATAAGTTTTTATTATAGTTTTTTATTCAGTAAATTATATAAAAAAATATATATTAATCAAATAATTTTCAATAAGACAAGGGTAA